TTGTTCTCAGAACACGCGGTAACACTAAAGTGTATAAATGAGCAAATAATAGAAAAAATTATTTAAATAACCTTGTGTTTAGGCGTTTTGGGCTCTTACACGTGCCGAATTTTTAGCTTGTAATTGGCTTTACAGTCAATATCGATCACGTAGTTCCCTTTGAGTTCATGATATTATGGGCTTCGACCGTCTAGGTCTGTTACTATTTTCGGTCATTGAGTGCTGGTAAAGGAACTGAAGGCAAAAAGTATTGGTGCATGACAACGGAGGAAAATGTGTAATCGTCAAACTCTGGTAAGAATATGGAAGAAAAGACTTTGGAAACTCTTCCAAGCACATGAATTCTTATTAAAACGATCGTATGTTGAGATTCCCAGAGATTAAATGGGGGCATTCGAATCTTCATTACTATTGGTGTTAGAATTTGCACAGTTGCATAGCGGTGGTCGTTGCACTAATATTACTGCTATAAGCATTCGTAGCACTTGCATCAACCGTGATATCGATGGTTGGTATCCGTAGTAGGATACTCGCTAGTCGTTGTTGTATTGGTAGTAGTATTAGTAGTTTTAGTAATATCACCGTTATCCCACTCCTTAATTTTTCAAGCACGAATCTGTTTAACTCCGGACTGGTTTTTGTTCTTGAGCGTAGCGACAGCTAAAAGTCTTGACAATAAGTTTAACAGGACTTTTTTCTCACGTGCTAACAAACGCGTAAGCTTGATTTATCACCAAAATGTACCATCAAATTAACACTGTTTTATGAAAAGTAAATTCCCTTCTAGGAACTGGGAAGAAACACAATTTCAAATTTTCCCACGAGTACGGGGTTACGCTAGATCGCCAATATAATTTACGTACTTAATTTCAATCAGTCGCAAAAAATTACCTTATTGGGTCAACAGCTTGGGTATAATCTATGCACCGCTGACCTGTTTTCTTGGCGTTGAAGTCATTTAAACGGATCCAACGGGTAGCGGGTTTGAGCCTCCTATGGTGCATCATCTGAGATTGCGCATTGCAGACTGGTGACTACTTATAAGCCAGAAATGGCCGCTTAATTTGTCTTAAATTCCATAAACTCAAATTTCGACAATCGAC